CATTCATAGCACCTTGCCGAGAGCATTATAATCAAAAATGCTGGGGTCAGACACAGAGTCACAGAGAGGACAGGAAACATCAACGGAGAAAAAGAGCAGAGATCTGTGTTATTTCCTGCCTTCGTCTCGAGATTGACCATCAATCTCTACATGGATGGACCTGTTCTTTTTCAATCACACTGCACGTTTACGTCTGTTTGCAAGCCAGACTGACTCTGTTCATGGTCAAAGTCTGTCATTATTTCCTGCCCACCTCCTCTCTGCTTCTATACTCTCTGTCTTTGCTCTCTTTATCACCTTGTTGCTGCCTCCACTCCTAATTCAGTCAATGTTGCTTCCTTGCTTTCTCTATTTCACCTCGCCTTTCTCACTGTTAGTTCTCTGCTTAACATCAACATTGTTATTTGACTCTGGTGAAAACAGCTACAAATGTATCTTTCATGACCTCTTTTATCACAGATCGTTTGATATTCTGCCCGTTTTACTACTCCTCTGATCTTTTAGTATCATTCGCTATGTACTTCTCCCTGCGGTCAGCTGTGAGTCCCTGGCATTCATTCAGACACTCCTCCTGTTACTATGTTCAGTGTCCTCTCTGGCTCTGCGATATAACATCGATATCGGATGTACCAATTATTCCACTGTTGCCTGCTGTGGCAGCATTTTTGCTCCCCTCACTCACTACCACATGCAATCTGTTACATGCTGCTTATGGAAGATCTAGTTGTAAACTCTAAATGGAAGAAAAGCAGGCATTTTTAAAAACTACATCAACCAGCCATTCATTTAATTGCTAGAAGGATATACAGTAACAGTGCGATCAGAAACAGTGCCGGATATCTGATTCATGCACATGGTGAATGAAAATAAATTCCATAATTTCACCAAAGGCTGGGAGGGCTTTAAAAACCTTGGATATGGAGATGGTATAGATTTTCTTCCTTTTGCTGGGGCATAAAGCATAGGTGAGTCATATTAAAGGATTCTTCTGCAGCGGACTGAATTCTTCAGAGACCAACCATTGTCATGCAATAACTTGCACAATACTGCCTCTGTTATCTGGGCTGTAACAGAATGGCCATAATGTTATACCCTCATTCCTATCATGTGATATCAGAATTACTAATGTATTTTTATATTAATATGCATATCTAATTATCATATTATTTTTCTCCATCTATGCTTCTCTCATGCTTACAATATAAGTTGCTCACTCTCAGAGCACTAGAATGATCCCATGTGGATATAGGGTTTCATAATGGTTGCTACATTTTAGAAAAATAAAAGGTCAAATAAACAAGAATTGAATTCAAAGTTGTATAAAAATAAGGACTTAAAAATAGAAATGGAAAAAATAGAATGGAAATATTTATGTCATGAGAAATCAAAGTAAATAGGTGTGGATCTCTCTGTTAAAGCATTTTGTAATAAACACTATATAACAAGGTCTGCAAGAACCGGATTTAATATGTCAGCGAAAGAGTCACACTTTGTGTCCATTTCATATGTTCAGCGTGAGATCTCATGTGAAATCAGGAGCAGAGCACATCCTCAAGGCTCCTCTTATCTTAACAACTGGTCAGCACGCGTCTTCCCACACAACGTTGGACACGTGTGAAGACCATTGTGACCCATGGTGAGACCTAACCATGACAAAGTGGAAACCATCTCCTCATAGCTAATCAATTATTTTCACATCACTTTTGACAGTACTAAACATATAGCCACTTTCAACTTCTGCAGCTTGTTAGCTACTAATCACATGTTATCTGGTAGAATATTGCCATAAACAGCATGGTTAAACTAATCCCAATTGACCTTTATTTTTATGTTACTAGCATTTCAATTTTGAGCATTTCAATCTAAGTAAGTGCATGTCAGAAAATGTCCATTGTTAAACACAGCAGACAGGACATAGGGCCTGGACGTATACTTGGCAAGGTAATGTTTGAGTCCAGATTTACTAAAGTAGATATTTTTCAGCTGCAGAGTGATTGACAAAACACATTGGAATGGCAGTTAACAACATTCAACTTCCATCATTTGCCTGCAATGCATCTTGACACCTGTCATCTGTAAAGCTGACAGAAGCTTGGTGCTTTAGCATAATGGTGTGTGCTGTCCGAGGTTAGCAGCACCACAAATAAAGAAAATAGTGAAGTTATGGGATGCTAACATTGTACTAATTGTATTAGTTTAGGAGACGTCATGTAAGATGTCAAATGTTTCAGTATGCAAAAAAGCATTGCGTTTCACAATATATGCAAAACCGATGATGTATTCTTGCGTGAACATACACCCATAAATAAACCCATAAAAACAAACACATGCTTTAATCAAGGGAGCAAAGGATAAAAAGGTTTCAATAGTATAGATTGTGCAGAAGTTCATCCATGAGAGGGAGCCAAGATATAAGAACAAATGTACTAAACTCTTATCAGGTAACTATGGGACAATGCCTGTAAAAATAACTATGGCTAGAACATCTATATACACTGCATGGTTTACACTTTATTTAAATGCCTACATGTAGAGTCCATGTCAAATAAATCAATAAACAGGTGAAGCCTGAAGTTTTCCAATTCTGTTGTTTACAACCTATCTTACCAGAACTTGCTCTGGTCTACCATTATTCACACACAGCTGATAACCGAGGTTAATGATCTAAGTCAAAGAGATTGCCTCTGGAGCCGGCATGCAAAAAAAAAAACAGTCATACTGTAATGGCAGTGGAAGACCCATAATTTGCCTTTGTCCATCTTATCTTGTTAAGCTTGTTTTGACAGCATTATGAGTTTAATTTTTTAAAGGTCAAACCGTGTTCCTACAGATAGTTATCAACATTACAGGGTGTATCAACATGTGTCTGAAATAGTTGGTAGAAACAGATCTACTCCAAGAATCCCAAAACAAATAAGTCTTTATCCGACACAAGCACAAGAGGAGGGTGACTAATCATGCTGATTTTAAGGATCAGCATCAAATCTTTTTGGATGTTGATCACTTTGGTACTTGAGATACAAAAGATTTGTGTTTGTTCTCACCAAAATTAAATGTTGTCTGTCAGCTTAATTTAATAAAAGATCAAATATGATATATAGGTTGAATTTGACAGCAGAGGAACAATTACATTTGCATCATAAAATATTTATAGCAGGGTTCCTAAAAAATAAATACAAATGGGGAAGTGAGGGATGATTTATTGAGTCTCTCCGTGGTATCTGAACACATCAAACGTTTCAGTTTAGAGAACGGAGTATGAAATATTACCTTTGAGTCAATCATTTTATATTTGGTCATATTTTGTCTTTTCCCATCATCAGAAATGATCCACAGCTGAGGCTATTGGGAATTTGATCACTAGTTTTAAAGACATCCTCCATCAACAAAAGTGATGGACCAGTTTTGGATATGACCAGGACTGGAAAACAAATGTAGGGATCGCCGTCTCCTCTGGAGATGTCGAATATGCAGATTTAAATTGTATGTCAATTAATTCAACACTTTTTTAAGCGCTGGAATTGCCCCTGACCACAGCCATTGTTTGAGTCACATCATTGCGTAGATACTGGCTAATAATAAACCATTTAGCATTCAACTTGAACTCATTCCAATTCATTGTTGAGCCAGCATGGTATTATAATTTGTTTCCAACAACGGCAAGGCTTCATAAGTTTAAAGAAAACATAACTGTCTCCTCTGTTTCAAGATCATAAATGCTTCATTTCCATATCCTCTTTCTGACGTTCACTTAAATGCTAAAGGTTAGTCTGTTCTTAGATTCCTTTAGGGTGTATTCAGTATGGCCATTTACCTCCTAATAGTTGTAATTATGGTCAAGAATGTAATGGTACAGTTATACCACATTAGGGTTTGTGGTAAACCAATAGATAACTGCCTTTGGGGCACTTGCTTCAAGGGTTATGCTTTTTTTTTTACCACAAGAAGGTAAGAGTGCATAAGTAAGCATGGTGCATGTGTGGAAGTGTGATGTCTTGAGACTGCTGCATGCATGCACTCAGAAATATGTTTGACAAACTGCAGAAGATCTCTTATATAATGGCAAAGTGCTTCAGTACATTTGCTGAAAAAATACGGAATTTAAATGCATGCTCTTCTTGTCTCACACACACACACACACACACACACACACACAACACACACAACACACACACACACACACACACACACACACACACACACACAAAACACACACACACACACACACACACACACACACACACACACACACACACACACCACACACACACTAGTGTATTTCTTATCATCTCATCGAGTCCCTCCCTCCCCATATGATTAGGTACTCAAATTGTACTGTTAACAAAACATAATGTTACCTGCCTTTGATTATGACAAAGCCCTTCTCTTGAAGTCCAATACAATAGTATAATGATCCCATTACTGTATTTACTGTGGTGGTTGGCAACTGTACGCCCACATGCTCAGTATCTGCATTGTCTCACCCACTCACTAGGTGCTGGTGGGAAGGTAGAGATACAGTTTTGAGTAGATCATGCAATAATGCTGCACAGGCATAAAGCATCTCTGACTGTCACACATACATTTACACACATACACACACTGCAACACTATCAGGGTCACGATCACAGTCATTTGCAGTTGGAATGTTACCAGAAAAAAAAAACTCCAGTCACAACTTCTCATGAATATTAAAATGACAGAGGTGGTACATGTAATAAGCCCCAGTGCAGTAAATAAAAAAAGTCATTTTACATTAATGACAAAAAGGAAATAGTGTGCAAGCAATGCCAGTCTGAGGATGTCTACAAGTGTCCACCTCCATCCCACAGATGACAATTAACTGCGCTATTGACCATGTTCTTGAATGAAGTGCTTCATGGATGGCACCTACACCACCACCTATTCAATCTATATGGACCCACACGCCCATTTAAACGCTTAAACTAAAGACACAGGCCTGCGTCTGTAAGGGGAGATAACCCTCTTTACCGTCTCACCTGCTCGTTCGCTGCCAGCTCTTTCTCCAGCTGTCGGTGTTTGTTGTGCCACACCAAATAGTGGATAGGAAAACGACTCTTCTCCGGAGTTTTCTTTGAAGAAATCATCCTCTGATCATAGTTTGCCTCCTTCTGTTTCTTCTAGATTTGAGCTATACTTTGTTAATATTTATGCTATTTAATCAAACATATCATCCTTTATCGGCGCTGGTGCCCAACGGCAGCCTTACGCGTCAGAAACAGTGAATGACTCCCGGCTTGCTCTGCTAAGAATAAACAGCAAAGCCCCGTGAAAAGCATTTATGGAAATAACCCCGTCGTTTAGCTGTCTCTGTAGATTAGGCTACACCTTCATGTCTTAACCACCCGTTCATCCACCTCTTGCCTCCCTCTCTCTTTCTCCCCTGCCTACTCCAACACATCTATTCTCCTCCTCTCCTCCCATCCGGTGGTGACTGAGAAAGCTGCTGACAAGCTGCAATGAAATGTGCGCAAACTCAGCCAATCCGCTGTCAGGGATGTTGTGATAAACATATGTTTAGTGTTAAAGAAACGCAGAAATTATGCACACATTATTGAAAGGAAGATACCTAGTATACCCCCTACAGGAATCCCAAAGTAGTGATATACTAAAAGGTATAACGAGTAGATAGGCTGGACTGCAAATGAAAATGCATCAATTAAAAGTCTAAATCAAAGTTTAACATATTCCTTGATGCTGCAGGATTCGTTTTATGTATAAAATCTTGTAGGCCTACTATTTATAGTTTTTTTTATTGCATTCACATCTATACATCTTGCCTTTGATTGTCTAGATGCCATGTTGAATGGAATCTGTGTTTTAAATGTTTTGTTTGTGTTTGTACTGTGCTGATACTCTATGGCACAACAAATCAAATAAAAATGGTCTACATATTCATACTGAATATATTTTTTGATCTGGTAGCTACCGAATCCACAAATGAGCTTATCCTTTTTTGTGAAATAATACAAGAATCAATACATGTTTTGTTCAAGGGAAATGTCAGTTATAAGGTTTCAAAAGGGATCAGATACTTTCAAATTTTTATTATTTGCTTCTTTGTGGAAACAGTCTAATGCAGATCCAAAATGCAGTAAATAATATTGAACCAATAAGACAATAAAGTAAATATATGCCTGATACATACATTAAAACACATGTTAAAACTCAGCTATATTAGGGTTAAAATGTAAACACATACATTAAAAAACATTTCAATGCATACTCTTTTTTGATCATCTTTGTGTGAAATGCATCTCACCTTAACATAATGACAGGATGATCTTGCCCTCTCCCCTCCCCAGCCCCTTCCATAGGTAGGCTGCTGCTGTAGGGTGTGTGTGTGCGGAAACTGACAGGTAGAGAGCTGCCGTCTCCCGGTGAGTTGTAGGCAATGCAACGAACAGATTTAGTAAATATTCCAATATGAGCTTCATACGAACAGCCATATAAAATATGTTTGCATAATTTAGCTCCAGATTTGAGTTCAGAAGTGGACGTGGGCGAAGAGACCGCAGGAACAAACGGGAAATCCAACTGTCAGCTGGCCGGGAAAACCGATCACATCACCCGGCTTCCGGGGATTCAGGGGCCGCATCGGTTGACGGCAGACGTCGGTCGGTAGCTCGGGGGAGTACGGGCGAACATCCACATCATCGCCAGTATCCACCTCTGATTTTCAGCGATTTTCAAGATGTCAAGAAAGCTACAAAGGACAGAGGTCTGCGCCGACTGCAGTGCGCCAGGTAAGAAGGGGGGAAATAAATCAAAACTAGACCACTAACATATGTGGAACAATACGTCGGGAGGGCGATATGATGGGACAACAGGGCCGAAGCTGCTGTCACTGTCAGCGGGTCCGCGGAGCAGGAAAGCGGCTAGGGCTTTCGGGAGTTGCTTAGGCCCAAAATAAACAGTGAAAATAGGCGTGTTATCACAATGGGAACATCTTTGGCTAATAGCGGCTCAGCGTTAATTGAGAAGCTAAATATATATATTGATTTGACCAAGACCATATGCAAAGCTACCAGTTTGTTTGCTGCAGTGGAAGATCTGAGTGTCCGGTTTATGAAGCCTTCCTGCTTGAAGAGACGTTTGTTTTGATTTTTGTGACCGGGACAGACTTCTAAAAGCGTTAGCTTAGCCTTGCTAACGAGCAGGCTATTTTCAATCAATGTGCTGCTGACTTCTACAAAGCATTTTGTATACCCCCGGAATAGAACCACACATTATCATTACTACATTTCAAAACCACTGTGTTATTTTTGGTCCTTGTCTTTGGTGTTTTTTAGAGGGTGTACTTAGCTACAGTTGCTAGCTTAGCTAGCTAGTCTAGCTAACTTTTGCTAAACGGCAAGTTATTGCTAACGCTTCACACACATCTAGTCCTTTTGACGGAATCTGACATTCGTTATTCATAGTTGACGTAGACTGCTGAAAAGCCCTGAAAAGCATACATACTTAATTGAACGTATTTAATGTAACGTTATTGTATACTGATTTATTTGGTTGTATAATGTTTAGTCTCCTTTCAGTTTACAACTAACATTTTCACTAACGAAGGGGGAATTTAACGCAACAGGAGGAAACTCCATTGAATTCAACGTGAATTGGAATATTATAATTATTTTCAAACTAATTGAAACTAATTAATATGTTGTGTATATGGTACTGTATAACATAGGTTTCACCACTGCATTTGTAGGTTTTCTTTACTCCTTTGCCCCCATATTGGTAGAGATGATGCCAAATCAATATCGGTTTCCCCTCCTTTGCCTCTAGCTGGCAAATGTAGCCTCACATGCCCTCATGCCTAGTTTGAAGCACTTCATTATTTGTGTGTGAGTTGCTTGCATTCAGTCATGTGTACATGCATTACAACAGCTGCCCTCTTCACAGCTGCTCCCCCCTGATAGCAGTGTGTAAAACTGTCATAAGCTTTAGGGCCTTACTTCTCACTGCTCCAAATCTGACTACACCAAGCCTCTGTTTTACGACATGAACCTTTTTCCTGCCACTACTATATACTTAACCCCCTGCTGTCTTCCCTCCTGCCCCATCAAGTGCATTTCCTGCCTCAAACTGACCAGCACTAACCAACCACAGTTCAAAACTTTTTTTTTAATGCTATTGCAATATACAAACAGTCTAATGTGTGAGGTCCCTGCCAAATAAATCCTGTAGGCAGAGATTTGTGTGTATCTTGTAGGGTTTGTCTCTTGACATGTATTTCCTTTCAAATGTTTCATAATTGTGGTGAGCTTTTTTCTGTTGGTGTAGGCTACCTGTTTCTAGCTTTACATTTCTTCTACTGCTGCTATTCACATGTAGCCCCTCCTTATGACGACATGCACACACACGCAGTGCGTTCTGCAAAGTGCTGACCTAGCCACGGGTGACAGGACACCTCCCTACAACCCAGCTTTGTGTCATACTAAGGGATAACTCAATGGCATAGCTTCAAAGGATAACTGATCCTCACTGTCCAAGCCAAGCCTCCGGAGGCTTTATGTCACGCCGTGGCAATCTGCACGGTTTATAGCAACAATTAATCATGTTGTCATGATAGTAAACTTTTTATTGAGCACAGATGGAATTGTATAAAAAATGTAGTATTGTGTAAGCGTTTAGAGCAGTTTGATAGTGGCGTCCAATTCCTTCCGATGTTTGGTCAAGTTTAAAAAGCAAACCTTTGAGGAAATAAAAACTAAGTATAAATTGCAATCAACCAAGGAGTGACTTGGACCAACAAGTTGACCTATGATGCTCCTGGATATGAACATGTTTAATTAGAGTTATCAGACTCCTCCAGTGTGAAATATGAATTAACCTGTACTCTTTGTTTTGGTCTAAAAACTTAACAGTAAATGCAAGCAACAGTTAGTGTTTATCCAGCAACAGTTTTCCATACTTTATACTCATTGTAATACAAGTTTAAACAGACTTAAGTGACAATTACAAAAATATAAATATGGCAATCTTGTGTTAAGGCACATTTAAGATACATTATCTGATGCTGCAGATTTGGCTAATTCCTTTAATGGTCTATTCAGATTTAATAGCATGATGTTGTAGCCTCATTGATCCCTTGAGCCAAACAGATAGTGTAACCTGTGGGAGTTTTTATATTTATTACACAGATTAAAGAATTAAATTGCTACAGTCATGCCTTTTACAGCCGACAGGCTACTGTTCTAAACTAGGCCGTAGCTCTTATCAAAGCCATTTTGCATTTGCTGATAATTTGTCTGCAGGCAAAAAGACTTATAGCATGTCAGTTTATCTGATGATGGACTATTTTAGCTCCATTAATACCTTAAGCCCAGACTGTTTTATCTGGCCTGAGAGTGACTAATACAGATAGCCTAGTAGATGTGTGTCTACGTGAATGCATCATGTGCATGCAAGTGTGCATACATTTGATTTGATATTACAGACTGTATTGTTTGTGAGTGGCTCATCACGTCAGCGGCCTGATGACATAAACATGACCCAGACTGACTCTATGACAAGGCTGCCAGTGTCTGCAGACTGGCACTGGCCTCAACTGCTTCCCCTCCCTTCCTCACCTCATTCACAATCAACGTCTTTAGTAGAGAAAAGCATTGCTCCCCTTGGCATTATGCACGCAATATTACACTGAACCGACTAAAACAAATACCAAATGTTATTATGGAAACCTCAGACTCCTGTGGAAATCTAGGTGATCTGACATTTGGCGCAGCCAGTGAGGCACCACTGTGTTATACCAAGATGCTTATGACTGAAATGTTGGGGTCTGATATTGCATGTGCGATGTGATTAACGATATTGGAGTAATTGATCATTTTTGCATCATTATTGTCATTAACATTGAACAATATATTTAAAGGATCATGGTGGGACTTTAAAAAAAAAAGAGATGTGTATCTAAAAAGTCAATTTTTGCCATTTTGAAAATCTTTTAATTAATAATGCAGCCCTAATCACCAGAATAAATAATTTGTTAAAAATACAAGACTTGTCTTACCTGACCTTGATTTGTCTTTGACCTTCAGCCCTACTTCCTCCACATTGTGTTCTGCACCTTTGTACACCAGTAGGGTGACTAGGTATCAGATCAGTTGAGCCCTACATTGGTAAGCTGGGCAGCCGTGGTCTGTGCAAGCATTGGTTCAGTAGTACTAGTGAGCAACTAGTAGAGTTAAAAGGAGATAAAGTACCACCCTGTGTCTATTAAACATTCAGTGTGTGTATGATCCTGTTTTATCCAGGTATGTGGTACTGTACTTCCACATAGCATCCTCCAACTGTAACAAATATAGATATTCAGCCTTTATTTTCTTCTTATAATCATCTTGATATATGAATGTTGATCTCTAAATACAGCGAATGACTGCTTTTGATTTGTTCTCTCAATTACAACACCATTGCCAACCCAGCTGTTTGATTAATTACAAATATGCTTGTCCTCTACTGAAATGCCAGCTTGCTTTTTTGTTCCCTATAAATATTATGGTGTGTATATATTGCACATTCATTTATGACATTTAAAAGACGTAATTGGATCTCTGTGCTTAACCTTTTGCCTTTTATTCGTACATATTTTCCTATTTAATTCAACACTTCTTATTGCAGGTTAGAAAATGAGGAAGGATGACGAAAATAACTATGTTTGACTTGACCTTGAATGAGAAACAAGGACTAAAAGGAGCATGTATTTGACTTGACCTCGAATGGAACTTGGGCAGTGTAGGTGGAGCAAAAATGCACCACAGTATCCTGTGGTTATAAACTATAGTTAAGGGCTCCCATCGTATACTCCTTACACATTCAGGATTTTATTGTATGCAATGCAGCCTAGACTAGATAACATTTTGTGTTGAAGAACTGAAGACTTCCTACAATGCTGAAATATCTTAGCATCACACACATGTCTATAAAGCTTGCAATAACATTCATATCTCTCTGTTTGCCTGTCAGACCCGGGCTGGACCAGTATTAACCGAGGCGTCCTGATCTGTGATGAATGCTGTTCAGTCCACCGCAGCTTAGGCCGCCATATCTCCATAGTGAAGCACCTGAGGCACAGCGGATGGCCTCCCGCACTACTGCAGGTAAGGCTGTGAAAGAAGAGTGATGGAAAGGGTAATTCAGTGAAAGCAAATGTAGTCCCTGAGGCCCAGAGTACTACCTCCAAAGGTTAGGACTATTACAGAAACCTGACTCAGCACTAAGGAAGCAAATTCATTCCAGCAGGTTTTCCATGTAAAAAAAGGGTAACATTTTGGGACTTGGATCGCAAGAATATTATATATGTATATATTGGTCTTATGCTGTGGTGAATCATCACTGAGTCACTTCTTCATTTGTGTGTTTCAGATGGTTCAGACCTTAGCCAGTAATGGGGCCAACTCAATATGGGAACACAGTCTGCTGGACCCTGCTCAGGTACAGAGCGGTCGTAGGAAACCCAACCCCCAGGACAAAGTCCAGTAAGTATACTCCCTAAAGGCTCAAAATAATTGCGATAATTGTTTGCACACCGCTTCTCTTAATGCATTCAAAACAGTGCTGGATTCTCTTCCTGATGATTATGTCCTCAGGTTTTTGGTATACCTAAATACGCGATAGGATTTGTCATTGTAGGTTTGTTATGCTTCTCCTGGGTTGAAATGTGGCTATGAGAGTGGAGATCAAGAATTAGACCTGCAGAAAATGGATGTGCAATTTCACTAATGTCTGGAAGCATATTGTGCTGTACTGAATAGATACTACTTATTACATTGTAGTAGTGTATACATTTCAAGTCAAGCAGTGAATCTTGTTCATTGCAGCATTCCTTGTGTAAAAACAGTGCTTTTATGCTGCTGTACCCTGCTTTAATAAAGGAAACTGAAACGGCCTGGCAGCCAGCCCAGGAGGGCCTATTTATTGTAAACATTATTATTTATTAACAAAGAACAACTAAATTGGAATGTGTCCATACGCACAATGCCAAACTGGATGACTGTTTTACAAAAGCGATAGCTAAGACTGTGATATGTTTAAACATTTTGACAGCAAATGGGCATTGTTTTTCCGAATGGGTGTTTATTTCTGGCCTGTTTGTGTAATGAAAAAACAACAGTAAAGTGAAAGAATATCATATCGAATAGGGATTAATAAAGTTCTTATTTTTCTCTTTTTTTAACCATATTTCCTTTTCCTCATGTGCAGTCCCACTAAGTCAGAGTTCATCAGAGCCAAATACCAGATGCTTGCCTTTGTGCACAAGCTGCCCTGCCGCGATGATGATGGCGTCACGACCAAGGACCTCAGTAAAGTGAGTGCTCAGTACTTCACTGCAGAGGGGTTGAGGATTCAGCTTAATTAGCCTCAGGGGACATTATCATAATGCTGAACTGCATATATAAGCACAACGGATGTTCTATTTATAGATGGCAGTGGGAGAACCCATATATAAAACAATACATTGCTTATACACACACAAACACACACTCGTGCACACTGTAAAACCTGGCAGGAAGTGAATGAGACAGCAGGATGTAATAATGGCCTAATCATAATAATGCTGTAGAGCTCCACTGAGCTAAAAGGAGATTCTGCCTGTTTCTGTCTCTTCATGATGTTTAATCTTTCCACCCGACGCTCTTTGTTTATATCTCTCTCTCTCTCTCTCTCTCTCTCTCTCTCTCTCTCTCTCTCTCTCTCTCTCTCTCTCTCTCTCTCTCTCTCTCTCTCTCTCTCTCTCTCTCTCTCTCTCTCTCTCTCTCTATCTCTATCTTTTTGTTATTAGCAACTTCACTCAAGTGTGAGGACGGGGAGTTTAGAGACGTGTCTTCGGCTCCTGTCCCTCGGCGCTCAGGCCAACTTCTTCCACCCGGTCAGGAAAAAAATCTACTTGCTGACTCACTCTATCTAGTAATTAGCCATGATGTACTGTAACTCTCTCTCTGCCAGGCCTCCTGACTCTGTGTGTGTGTGTCTAACTGCAGGAGAAAGGCACTACCCCGCTCCATGTGGCAGCCAAGGCAGGCCAGATCCTGCAGGCGGAGCTGCTGGTCGTGTACGGGGCCGACCCCGGAGCACCGGACATCAACGGACGCACACCTATGGACTACGCAAGGTACAAATGAGTGGGAACACACCTCAACACAGTTTGCATTCAAGTCAAAACATATACTACATTTTATACGAGTTGGAGGAAAAGCAGAAACAATAATGTAGAATTGTTTTTGCCTGTGTTCCAGGCAGGCGGGCCATATAGAGCTAGCAGAGCGGCTGGTGGAGTGTCAGTACGAACTGACGGACAGACTAGCCTTCTACCTCTGTGGACGGCGCCCAGGTAACACACTGCACATGTTTGTGTTTCATTAAAGGCCCTTATGCATAGCTAACCTCAATAAAGAAAGTGGTTGTTTTTACCAAATTATAAAGTTTCCTCTACTCTCCTCTCCCTCTCTTTTCCCCACAGATCACAAGAATGGCCATTATATCATTCCACAGATGGCAGACAGGTATGGACCATGACATTGTTTGGGTCTGCACAATTAATTGTAAATGATATTGAAATCACAATATGGACTAGGGCTGCTCAATTAATCGTATTTTAATCGTAATTACGATTTTGGCTTGCAACGATTACGAAAACAACGTAATCAAAATAAAACGATTATTTATTTATTATTATTTTTTTTTTTTTTAAATTATTATTATTATTTTTTTTTATTATTTCAGTTGAATTATACTTAAAGTTCAGGGTAATCAACTGTTAAAAACATACTGTTCACATTTGTTTTTTCAAAGTAAATGGATAATCGTTTTTAATAATCGTGATATCAATTATTGACCCAAATAATCGAGATTATGATTTTTGCCATAATCGAGCAGCCCTAATATGGACTTATTAAATATATTAACAATATTAAAATGCCACTCTGAATGAAGTACTGTGGGGCTGCAGAAATATCCCAACCTATGAGTGGTATTCTACAGACTTAACAAAACATATGTTTGGTACAGATCCCCTTTTAAAATCCCACCATGATGATTTTGATATTATATATATACATATATATGACCATGCGAATTGTGATTCAAAAATGATAAATTCCTTCATTACCGTGTATCACAAAGCAGTCGCAGTATCAGTCAAAAAATGGCAATTAGTTATTTATTCCATATTGTGCTGCCCTAACATTATTGTTCTGTATCAATGTGATTATGAATGCTTTGCATTTGCCTGCACGGTGTGGTTTGATTGCATGAAGTATCTTTGATATTTTTCTTGAACTTTGCAGCTACCTTGCCCACACTGCTTCTTTTCACTGTCTTCCTGGCGTGGATTAATTAATTCATTAAAACTCATGCAGTTTAGTATTCTGACCAGAGGGTGTCACCATAGTATATGCAACCCTTACTAAATCAGTAGTTAATTAAAGGAGGTCTCTGGCATCCCTATGAAAGCAGACGGTTTATTGCTACAGTATTGTCGATCCAAGCCATTGCATGTACCTGAAATGATTTAGATACTTGTTGTGTGCTCTGTTTATTAAGCATAAACTGCAGGTTTGATTAGCATCAAGAAGTGCACAGTCAGGTTGTAATGAATCAAGTTGAGTACCACTTGGCTCTGCTTCTTCCACATATTTGATGAGCGCTGGGTTTACTCAGTTGAGTCGGAGCAGTAGCTTAAAAAATACTCTGTCTTTTTTGACCCGGTGAGGTGGTTTTCTTAGAGTATCTTTGTAATTACATTTTTTTATCATTTCATATTCCAGCTATTCCTCAAAAGACATGTTTTGGATATCATGCCATTCAAATTTGAAATGTACATTTTAAGAAATTGTAGTTTTTGTATTACTACCCCAAGCTTCCATAAGTGGGTCAAAAATGACCCGCATGCATTTTCTATGGAATTTCGTTTTTTTTTCAAAATGTCTAAAATTATAAATAGTGAAAAATTAAATATAAAATATTTCTAATGTGAACCAAAATATAATACTAAATATGATACAAGGGATTTTTCTTAACCAAAATGACAAAAATGGCATAAATACACACATTATTCCTTGTTGACCCACTTATGGAAGAGTGTAGGGTCCAGTCACTCGTGCATCTAAGGGTTAAGTAAGTCTTCTCAGCTGCCATCTAACTCCACTTGCATCTGTTCGGTTGTGGTAAATGGTTCCTCTTGATATTAACAATTAAAGCTGTTTTGATGTGGCCTCTCTACCCTTCTTTCTGTCTGTTTCTTCCTTTTTTTCTCACTCCTCTTCTGTTTTCTCCATTTCGCTGCGCTTGGTGGAGCCAGAGCTCGTCCTAAGTGCCCGACACAGAGGTATCTTTACTTTCCTTGTTCCTTTTTTCCAGAATCTCTTCCTTCATTCAATCCCCTATGTCTGCTATTGTATCTTTCGAAGATTTCACTGCTGTATACATCAATGAGCTTCAATCTCTTCTTCAGTGGTTTCACAGTAATTGTTACATATGTTATGTTTTTATGTGTTATCACAAGAAATAATAGATTTACCAGCCAATTCTGAAGAGTAGATGCTGTTAGAAAATAGTTTAAAAAGGGCCCACAAATAACCAGCGTTTGTCCTAAAATAAGCTAGCTAAAGTGAAATGTCTGATAATGCAGTTATAATTATTTTAAATGTTCCATCTATGTTATGCTACATCATTATAGTCTTACATATTTGACAGGCTACATCAACATGTATTTAGAAAATTACACTTTGGCTAATTGTTTCCAATCTGGCTTCAAAAGGCAATCCCAATAACATTAAGCTCCTTCGATCTGACCCCCAAAGCACCCCATCTAATATGTACCCTCCCTCTCCCTGTCCCCCCTTTTAGCAGATCCCCCTCCCCCTTCTCACCTCTTGCTCCTCTCTCCATATCCACGTCTTCCTTCTTCCCTCCGTCTCTTTATTCCACCTCATCTTTGTGGTACCTGTCTGACTGTTTGTCTCTGTGTTTTTTAGTTTGGACCTCTCAGAATTGGCAAAGGCTGCCAAGAAGAAGCTACAAGCGGTGAGTTGGGTTGAATTGTGAGATTAAAATCATGGCTAAATGTCAATTCACATTACAACTCTTAGTAGACCATGGCTGCAGTCGAATAGTCCATTTAGCTCAGGAACCTTCCTAACGGAGTGAAATGACCCGGAAGTCCCTCAGTAGCAGCCATGATAAGAGCCGTTCGAATTCTGATTGGAAAGGAGGTTTCAAACTTCCTTTATAACCTCCTTTAGCTTAGGAACCACTGGACCTCCCTTTACGAAAGAAAAGGAGAAATTGCTGTCCCACAATGCCTTGCAGCCGCAGCATTTGCCGTCACACAACATTCGGCCGTTCACGGAAACAACCGATTATGACCGAGAAATGATATCATGAAAGTTACGGTGCTTATTAAGCATTTTAAAACGTATGTGGTAAGTTGCCAAAGTGCTTTGTTTTGAACGTTCATCAGTATTATAATCAAAAAGAGAAATATGAACGTTACTGTTTTACTGAAATTATCAAATTAAGTCAACATTTCACAGTCTGAGCTGTGGGGTTTGTTCAACTTTTAAAATATGTTTTAATAATGGTGATATACAGTACACAGTGATAGATGTTAAGGACTAACACGTTTATAATAAATACATTTGTATTTACGTATTGGGATTCATGTGGATTAATACGTGTGGACCGGAGGGTGACAAGCATAAGTTTCACTTCCCTTTTTTATTAAAATTCCAACCTCGTTCATGAAGAATATGTTTCTCTGTTATCCACGTTTATAAAGCATAAAACAACCCCATCAGAGCACGGTGCAGAGTCTCTACATGCGTATATACAGTAGTCCGTCGTTCTTATTATACATCCATGTAGTCCGCTGGATATAAAACTGTAGTTTCCCCACAGCAGCAGACTCAAATTGATGACGTCCGCTCTCGCATCATAAATATGTCGGATAGTGAAAGTGCAGTCAGATTCTCAAAGCACCGCAGTCTCTTCTCCTAAGTCCTTTTGAATTCTCCTATCCACTTAACCCCGTGGCGTTTCACACAGAGGCCAAGGAATAGACCATAGGGATAGACGATAGGAGCTGATTCTTGGACTATTCGACTGCAGCCCAGGACTAGATTTGCCAAAGTCAAGGCTGTAGCTTTTATTAATAGAAAGCTAGTTTTCTTGTGTCCTTGGAAGTTATGTAAAAAGAGAAATACTTGGTTTAAAGTTTCTTGGCATAACATTCAGATTTTCTGTTACTTGGCAAATTAATGTTCGTCCACTCCAGGGCCATCTGTTCAGCGCCAAAGAATGCTTTCAATTCCAAAACTAAGTGTAATGATTGCTTATCAACATTTAAGTGACTGAAGTAACAAACCATTGCAAATAACTTACTGAAAAAAAGATAGCATGCCAAGTCAAATCTTACATTTGCAGCCAAGATGACTGTAAATCAGGTTCTTATTTCATGTTTTCTTCACCTGTTAATACATTTGGGATGAGTCAATTTGTTTGTGTCCAACAGCTCAACAATCGGCTGTTTGAGGAGCTAGCGATGGACGTATATGACGAGGTGGATCGCAGAGAAAATGATGCAGGTGAGTCTCATCTCCTTCCTCCACACACTACCGGTTTTGTGTTTCGACTCCTGTGAAAACTAGATGTCAAAAGCAATATAAAACACATACACAAGACGTCATTGACATAAAAGAGAAAAGTAGGACGAGAAAATAGATGTTGATAGGAACAGCGAGTGAATTTGAAGGACAGAGTGAGAAGAAAAGGAAAATGACTGTGAAAGAGAAAGGCCAAATGGAGTGAGAGAGGAGGAGGAGGAGAGACTGAAGAATTTCTTAGGCACTTCCTCACTCTCTCTCCTCCTCCTCCTTGGCTCTTTCTCGCTCCGTCTCCTTCTCTTTTTGCGTTTCTTCTCTCCCTTTCCTTCAGTAGCAGTAGCAGTCAAATTGTGCTTTCTAACAGAAGCACTGCAGGTAAGTGGCAAGGATACTAAGACACACACACACAGCACTACGCTGGATTATAGGGGCAGAACTTCAGTTTTAGGACCTACAGTATTATTTGACTGTGCTCTGTTTATGTCTGTGCATGTGTGGGTGGATGGACTGGCTGACTGCCTATATTCAATGTTAAACACACACACACACTCACAAAGACTTGTTTTTTGCTTTATATTTGTGTCTCTAGTGTGGCTCACGACCCAGAACCACAGCACTCTGGTAACAGAACGCAGCGCGGTGCCCTTTCTTCCTGTCAACCCTGAATACTCTGCCACACGCAACCAGGTAAACACACACTCAAACACACACCTGCAATACAGACAGCATGCATATACTCTTGTACTTGTGTATTAGCTGATACAAAGAAATGCATGCACTCTAATTGAAATGTAGGTTTCAATTGAAAACTGAGAAAAGCCGAGAGGAAAATATGGAGCCTAGACAGTAAGCCAGTGTATGTGTTTTTGGGAAAAGCTGAAAGGGAGTGTGAAATTGACGAGGGATGTTCTTCAGCTGTGAATGAAGACGAAAGATGGAATCCATCTGTGTGTCCCCCCCCTCCCCTTCTGTGTGTGTGTGTGCGAGAGAGAGAAAGATGAAATCCCTTATGTCCTCTTACACAGTTCCTCATCTGTGTGGCTTATTAGTGTAAACATTTACTTTTAAACTCGAGCAAACACACACAAAAACACGCCTGCATAACCTGATTTACTCTGCCCTGATTGGTCAGTTCACTGTGGTCAGTAACTGCTGTCTATTTATGGTGGGATACGGAAGAAAAACACACTCAAACGCATTCAGAGTTGAACTTTTTACCTTCTGTTGTCTTCCAGCACAACTAATTATATGTTATGAATGCCGGATCGCCATGGGTAATAGTTCTGGTTTAGCACTTCATTCGAAAGTGATCCTTTTATTCTCTTAAATGGATGCCAGCATGCTTGTGTAATTGCATGGTTTAATGTTTCTTTCCTCATGATTTGTGTACGTGTGAGCACATTTGTGATGGTGTGTATCTGTGTGTGTGTTGCGAGTGTTGAGTATGACTGTGTTTTTCCAGAGCACATGGCCGTTGACCACAGCAGTCACAAAGGCATTGAACCACTGACTGTGGGCTGGATTGTATCTGTATTCAACGCAACTGATGATACAACTTTAAGACATATTCAGACAGGCATGCCAGTATGTGTATATTATGACCTAAGTCTTACATATTTGACTCATTCTCCTCTCAGGGCCGTCAGAAGCTCGCCCGTTTCAACGCTCGGGAGTTTGCCACGCTCATCATCGACATCCTGAGTGACGCCAAAAGGAGACAGCAGGGAAAAGGTCTCAGCAGCCCTACTGGTAAGGCACTGGGAAAAGACAGATTAGGGCTAAATGCAAAAAGGCAAATAGCTTCTTTTTTTTTGGGAACAGCAAAAAGCATATAACTTGAAAATGTGATTATCTCGGCAAGCAGCTACTTGGCAAACGGGCACCAGTCCAACTACTGAGAAAGGCTGAAGGAAAGAATGGCTGTTTCTTTAGGATGTATTGTTAATGGGTTACATTTGAGTCAGACCAGGCTCTACGTTTTCCTCTGTACAGAAACTTGCCTCTCCTAACTCTAACAATTGATTCTAATGTGAAACTAACAAGGAAACAAGTCGTATATAGAGCTGGTTGCAATCCGTCAGCAACCTAATCAGACTGAGCATCCCTAACGGGGGGGGGGAGCTGATACACTGTATATTGAGACGTGTGCAATCTTCCTTTGTCAGACACATTGGATCTGGGCATTGATGATGACCAGCATGACTACGACAGCGTAGCCTCTGATGAAGACACTGACAGCGAGCTGACCGCCCAGAACAACAACAACACACAACGCAGCAACCGTGCAAAGGTATGGTACTTGAACACACACTGTTTATTTTGGAAAACCAATGAACGATGTGTCTTGCCACATGTACACTTACTAGCTAGCTTTGATCAAATGCATCACACTATTCAAGGTCAAATCTACAACTCTGTGCTAGTGTTTTTATACAATAATGTAGTCAGTTTCTCTCATTCAAACCATAAAAAAGTAGTTCCATCAGCTAGCCAAGCTGTTCTCTTTATGACTGCTTGTCCCAGCATGCTTTGCAGGGAGTGGCTACAGTCAGAGCTGCCACATAGCTCCTGTGTGACATCATCAGCTATTCTGGGTCCATGTCAGAGAAGCATTGTTCTTACAGTGCAGAGAGGGAGAGGGAGAGTACTGTGTAGTGAGAGGAAAGAAAGGAGGAGGTTGAGGGAGAGAAAGAGGGAAATGGTGCAGAGTGGGAGTGGTAGAAATGAAAACAGCTAAACCAATAACTATCTACTTTTCGTGGACTTGCTTAGATCGTTGGGAAGAACCGCAAGTCAGAGGTTTCACTCCCGTCTCCAAAAATATGCATTCATTTTGTGATGGTATTAAATTGCATTGTCATCAATCATACACAGTGTTATCTAAAGAAGTAAGTTGAGGCATAATGGCAAAACAGAAATGAATCGATAGGAGGTGGATGCAACCAAAATATGTTTTATATGGTTCACTTTAAGGAGTGGTATGGAAATGTGTTCACAGGAAGTGGGGAGGGGGGGGGGGGGGGGGGGGGGGCACATGGTGCATTGAGAATAAGAACTGAGGCTCTTCTGTCTAAATGTGTGTTAGCAGCTGCAGGCCGACCCTTTTTCTCGCACACTGTTGTAAGCAGTGTTTTATTCAGCTGAAAAGCCACTAATTCATTCCCATTACCCCTGCTCTAAATGACATTCTTTATATAACATAGAAGGATGTCAGCCTCCGCAAAGAGTTACATACATTTGTTCAAATATACACTTCAATAGCTGTCATGACATCAGTTTCCTCACTTTGTCTGTGCTTCTCTGTCCACCTGTTTGTGTTTCTTTTATTCTTTCTACCCATCTGTCTGTCTGTCTGTCCGCCTGCCTGTCTGTCCTCTCAATGCAGAGCATGGACTCCTCAGACCTGTCAGACGGGCCCATCACTCTGCAGGAGTACCTGGAGGTGAAGAAGGCTCTGGCCTCCTCAGAAGCCAAGGTGCAGCAGCTGATGAAGGTCAACAACAACCTGAGCGAGGAGCTGCGGCGGCTCCAGAAGGAGGTAGGGAGCATGTCAGACCAATCACACTCATAAGGTTCGACAGTTGTCTTATGCAGAAAAGCAAAAGAGAAAGTAAATAAGGTCAGTTTAGCTTATTTTGGATTTGTATATTTAATAACAGTGGAGAACAGGATACAGTGAAGAGAGATGGGATGAAGCAATAACTGGTAGAAAATGTAATTGTTTCTTGGAAAGGTGAACACTTAGAACCTGGTTGAGAAGTTGGATTACAAAATCAGATACAGGATAATAACTAGAAATAGGGGAGGTCGGCTGAGAACACACAAGATCAAGTCACATGTTGGCGAAATGAGAAGGAAGGATTGATTCAGACAGGAAGCCAGGATGATGTAGAGCAGGGGTGTCAAACTCAATTTCATCACGGGCCACATCAGCATTATGGTTGCACTCAAAGGGCCGGTTGTAACTTTAAGACTATATAAAAATACATATACAAATATTTAATATATATAATGTATTATATTACATTATTGCCTCTTGGATTATTATCGGATAGGGTAATAACTTCATAATTAACTACAGTACGTCTGAAAGCAGAAGTCTAGGCCAAATAATTGCAAGTCTCTTCAGTAAGAATGTCACAAAAGGATTTAAAAAGAAAAGCCAAATTCTGGAGAAAAAAAAGTGAAATTTAGAAGGAAAAAAAGTGACATTTTGGGGGGGAAAGTAACATTTTGAAAAAAAAGTAACATTTTGGAGAAAAAAATCTAATTCTGAGAAAAAGGCAAATTCTAAGAAAAAAAAAGCATATTTTGAAGAAAAAAAAAGTCAAATTTGAGATGCATTGTGGGACATGTAGTTTATGGGCAACGTGCTTCTGTAAAGTAGCATGTAACCATATAATAAACATATTATATTCTTTGCAAGCTCTTATGGGGCCACATAAAATGAAGTCGCGGGCCGGATTTGGCCCCCGGGCCTTGAGTTTGACACCGCTGATGTAGAGACAATTGAATATTTTATTATCTTTGTAAGCTGATGTGTTTTTCCTGACAGGGTGTGCTTTTCCTTCATCATTGTCGATGGAAGATGTGTTTGGTTACACCTTTCAGTGTTATTTACTAAATAAAGCTGACGTCATTGTCATGTGGAATAAGAGTGCTACAAATATTCATTCTCATTTTTAGATTAGACCATTTTCACTTAATAGCGTTCATTTGCGGTTCAATGTCGCTTCATTTGGTTCCCTGAGTCATCATCATGAGCTCATTGTATTCATTAGTGGCTGCCAGTGTCAGCTTATGTGACCCATGATTCATTCGTGTGTTTATTGTTGTCCCTTGACTGAGGATCTAGTGAAGCATCGAAGCACACACACTGCAGATAACAAATAATGTGGTCAAATTTAGATGCTAATGAACAGTACCTCAGTGTAAGTGAGCCCCAATTTCCCCTCATTGACCCTTAACAACTATCAGTGTGTATATTCAGGTATGTCCCCTCCCACCCCATTCCCAATGCCTAATCCCTGCCTCGACATGTAACAATTCAAGTGTCTGTAATACATATTCCCTCCCTCCCCAGTACTAATATGAGTTACTATGTATGAGCTTGTGTGCTTTTTACTGTACCTGACTGTGATTGTGGACGCTTGTCTTTGAACATTCAGTTGACATCCCCCTCCCTTCCCTTCAACCTCCCCATGTCCCTCCCTCCATCCTCTCATCCCTCCTTGCTCCCTTCCTCCTCTCCTGTAGATCACACGGATGCAGACAGACAACAGTGCGCTGCGGGGGGGCCAGCAGGCTGGGGGGGCAGTTAGCCATGGGGTAGGAGGGCCTGGCGGAGGAGGAGGAGGAGGAGGAGGAGGAGGAGGGGGGGGGGGAGGTGGTTATTGGCAAGGGGGTGGTATGAGAGGAGGCGTAGGGGGCCTGAGTGGGTTTGGGACAGGAGCAGATCCTCCGGGGCTCACTGTGCCCTCCTCCGCTGCCCCCCACTCCCATCCCCACCGAAGGGACCGCCAGGCCTACTCAATGTACGAGCCAGGGGCGGCCCCCGGCCCCATGGCCCATGGCCCCCCAGTCCAAGACTCCCTGGCAGCCCGCCTGCAGCCACTCAACACATACAGCGTAAGTTAGAACTTCCCCGGCCCCCCCTTCTACTTCCCACCTTCCTTCTGGTGGCCCTGATTGGCTCTCTCTGGCCTGATTGATGGGCGATAGTCCAATCCTGACTCTCTATTTCCCTCTGACGTTGTCTCTCCCTGCATCTCAGTTCCCGATCCTTCTCTTCTAAAAGTCCACTTGTGCATCACCCCCATTTACATTTGGAAATGTAGCACTGATTTGTCTATAAACAACAAGACATGAACATATGATTTCCAGCACCATACAGTAGGGCTGGGACATATATGAATATTATAACAATGTTTACATGAGACTATGGCTCCTAAAATGTCATGTATCGTATTATCTTTATGGCAAAAGTAATTTCCAGTTTTTTAAGGCTGTCATAGTATTTGCCTTTACCCTCTTACTCATATATCCTTATGACTGATGATTGTTTATAAAAAAATAGAATTTTGTAAATATCTTTTGAAATCACCAATAGTCACCCCTATGCTATTTTTGCTATTTGGTATCATGATATTACATTTCTCCATATCACCCAGCCCTACCATAAAGAGGAAGTGCACAAGTGTGACGTGAAGGAGAAAGATGGAAAATAGGGATTGTGTTGTTTGTTTGGTTGTCTTGCCACGCCTCTGATTTCTCTGCTATGGCCTGCTCTTTGACCTTTACATGTTCACCCTTTCTGACCTCCCAGTTAGCTCTCCTGCTTCTGGACAGCTGCTTAGATTAGGAGTTGCTTTGATCACTCACATATGCAAGTGCACACACGCGCACAAATGAAAGAATATTTCTGCTCTGTTTTCCAGTAAAGGTGGTAACACGGCAGGCAGATGACCTTTTTATATCTTTCACTTGCATTTATCCTATTATCCACTCACCACTACTGTCAACCTTTCTATGGAGACCTCCATGGATTCGTGTCCAATTCACCATCTCCGTACACAAAGATTTACCTGTTTGTCTGTTTTCTTTCTGTCTGTCTGTCTCTTCACCCGTCTGTCCCTTGCTCACTGCAGTGCAGCCGTGCATCCTCTGGATGTAAGCATTCTGTCTGTCATTGCATTGTTTGCCATTTCATCCACTGTAGGATCCCCTCACACGCAGCTATGCACCACTTCTGCTTATTATGCATTCTAATACTGGAGATCAACACTAGAGTATGTGTGTAGTCCTTCTTAGATGCTCTGTGTGATGTATAGCCGTTCCCCACCACTTAGTTTAGTTGACAGTGTTCTCTGTATTCCAGTGTTAGATAACTATAGAGGCATGCAGTCTTGATGGGATGATGGGTGAGCTGCCGAGTTGATCTGCCGCTGCTCTCACTGTCTCATTCATCTTGTTTTTCTGCTGTTTATAAAAACATCTCTTCTCTCTGTCCCCACACTCTTTTTTTCTTATTTCTTCATCCATCTCTGTCTGCTAATCTGTCATCCCCCTCTCCACCTCTTTGTCCACACATCTTTCTTTCTCCTCCTGTCCTTATCCCTGCATCTCTCTCTTCCTTTCCCCATCCTTGTGTTCCCCCTTTTCACAGGCACGGAAGGGCAGTACAGGGGGTACCGGGATGTATGGGGTCCAGCATCTCTCTACAGAGATGGGCAGATACATGGTGAGGCCTTACTGTTTTTAGTTGTCGTCTTTAAATATATTTTTCCACCTTCTACTTTTATTGATCCGCCATTTTGCCTAAAAATTGCCAAAATAGTGTCCTACTTATAATGCAAATGGCTTGGAATATTGACCTAGTACAGAAACCTGAGGCCTGTACTACGAAGCTGGTTCAACCTAACCTGGATATGTTGGAGTTAGCCGGTTGGCCTAAGCCAAAACATACGCGCTGGCGCTAAACTGTCCTACGACGCTGGTTATCAAGTGGATCGCTCAAGCCAGCCGTGTCCTATCTAGTTAGGTGCGCGTTCACATGAAAGGGGTGGTATCTGGAGCATTCGACCAATCACAAACACGGACAAGCGTACTGACAGCGCAGCGTCATACTTCCTGAATGAAAAGTGAACTTTAATATTAGTCAAATATGAAGAAATTAAACTTTAAACATCCATGACTTAAACACTTTATCCAGGATAAAAGCCACATAGCTGCACCTGCAAGGTGAATACAGCTGGTAAAAGAAAAAGTGTTTGAATGCGTACATTAACAGGTTTATGATATCACTGCCAAGACACGAGTGGATCTGACTTTAATTACATTTGACTCGAGTGTTTCGTCAACTTAATGTGTTGCTTAAAATAATACTTCTGCATACAGTATGTGACACTGTGAGTGTTGCACGGCCAGATACGGCTCAGCTGACTCAGATAAGGAAATATATGATACATTATGATGTGATATGATATGAATGATAATGGGACACATCGACGTCTGCACTCACAGTACCGCGGACTGTACTTAATGTTACTCTGATCCGGTTACTTATGTCGTGGCAGATATTTAAGTAAGCTTTCTTAACGCTAATATTATAATAGTCAGATTGCTCTGAAGATGGGAGGAGGGGATATTCTATTAATTTTCACGGCAGTCTTTCCTGCAACGGCAGTTTTTCTGTATTTCCTCTATCCTGTAATATGAATTGATCGCTTTAAACTCCGCACACGGAGCTCTGATTGGTCAGCAGGCGGTGCTTTCACTGAGTTGATCTCTTAGCCTGCCACCTAACCTGCTCCGGAGCAGGTTTGCCGCTCAGCATCAGTTACCATGGAAATCTAGCCTGCTAAAAAGAGAACCAGCGTCGTAGGACCGGAAAGCCCGAGATTTCCCTGAATTTAGCCGGCTAAGCGAAAATCCAGCTTCGTAGTACAGGCCTCTGGTCGTCCTCCAATGCGAGCTTCAAGTGTAAACAAACCTTAATTATATACATTTTTCAGTTGAGCAACCACAGAACAAATTGTGATGAGAGTTTTAAAATCTGAGCAATTTAGTGTTTTTCCTATTTATCATCACATTCACCTGGAACAACGCATGTACTTTGTGGGAGGAAGTGTCGTTCAGCTCTACAGGAGCTTTGTTGAGAAAGGTGATAATTGTCCTGATGATGCGTGTTGTTGCTTTGTTTCCCTCTCTAAGGTCCCCAGAGGAGAGAAGCATGGCAGCGGCACTGACAGCGACTATGACAACACACACACATACGACCTCTCGCTAAGGTCAGGCTCTCTGCAACTTATTGTACTCACAAGGATACGTGTGTTTTCGAATCTTTTGGGGATATTGTATTACCAATTGCCAGTATCGGAGACAAAGTATATCCTTTTCATATTTAGGAAAAGTATTCCAAAGGCAGAAACTATTTTATTCTGAAATGTATAAACCCACAATAAAATTAGATCTGAGATCAAGTCAGAAGTTGTAAGTCATGGGATATAATTGGTACTATTAATCATTTAAAGCCCTTAACATTTAGCTAATGTAAATATCAGTGTTCGACAAATATGTTATCATTAATTTACCGTTACAATGTTTTTATATGGATAGTTTGGTTTGCTCTATTTGCTGCTTTTTAATGTTTTCTTACTCTGTTGGGCTTTAAATGGGTTCCACACCGATAAGGGCTTTATGATCTTTTCCCATGTTGTTAATGAGAAATAAACATGCACTCTCTAAAGATGTGAACTCTTAATTTGGTGAGACCTTAAAGCTGATTAAAGTCCTCTCCGCTCTCTAAGTAATCCAAGGTGATAATTAAAGTGTATGCATGTGTGTTCTCCTGTCAGTATGGGCCGCAGCAGTGAGGACTCTGAGGAGGGAGGAGGGGGAGACGCAGTGGAGCCGGACCCCACCCTGCCCTGCACGGAGGATGTCATTATGAAGACTGAGCAGGTGACCAAGAACATCCAGGAGCTGCTCAGGGCTGCGCAGGAGTTCAAACACGACAGGTAGGTGGCAGACGGAGTTAAGTGACACTAAAACATTTTGTCTGCTTTACAATACTTCTCGTTTCCTAGTGGTCCTCTTCATTAGATGAGCATTACAAAGTTACAGGAACATCGAGCGCCAGAATCAACTTTTTTTCTTAAATGTTTTTCTTACACATTTTGTTTAGAATTCTTCATGTTCAGATTCCTTTTTATTTTGAAATAGAGACCTATATTTTATAATTACATGTTGTTTCCTTATCCTGTGAATGCCATTAGTGCTACGTTAAGTTCTGGCCATTGCTACAGTGCAAAAGAAAGTGGTAGAAGTCACTGATGATAAACTTGCTCATTCATTTGCTCAGTCTTTCATTAATGTATGTCCAACACAAAGTGAAGACTTTTCAATGCTATCTTACGGGAGCCCTGTAGTTGTTGAATATCCACAACACTAGTTCAAAGGGTCTTATACCCAACACACTTATTAACACCAGGTGAATGCAGTTGTTGATGTCTAAAGACCATAATCCAGGCATGTTGAGGGGTTTGCACTCGTGATGGGGTCGTACATTAGACGTGTATTCAAATGTCTTAAAGCAGCATTTAGCATTTAGTAAGAGACTACCTTGTTTTATCAATCAGAATCAGAATCAATCAGAATCAGAATCAATCAGAATCAGAATCAATCAGAATCAGAATCAGAATCAATCAGAATCAGAATCAATCAGAATCAGAATACCTTTATTTGTGTAGTTACATAATTTAAAAAAATACACATCCTGTAACAGTTCTAGGATTTAACAGCCAGGTATATATTACACAGTTATTAACGACATCTATATATATATTGCACATCTAGCACATATTGCACATAGGTGGTTGGTATTTAGCAGCAACAAGTTACACAATTGACCAAATACACACCTTGTAACAGTTCTAAGGATTTAGCAGCCAGGTATATATTACACAGTTATTAACGGCATTTATATATTGCACATATTGCACATAGTTTGTTGGTATTTAGCAGCAAGGGGTGATATAGTCTGTGTTGTGGTGTGTGTAGGGGGGGGGGGGGGGGGGGGGGGGGGTCAACTAGGGGCTGTGCTGGTTGTATAGACTGACCGCTGCAGGAAGGAAAGACCTGCGGTATCTCTCCGTGAGACAGCGGGGGTGCAGCAGCCTATCGCTGAAGGAGCTGCACAGTGAGGGCAGGGTGTCCTGGAGGGTGGGGTGGGACACATTGTCCAGCAGGGAGGACAGCTTGGCTGCCATTCTCCTGTCTCCCACCACCTGCACAGTGTCCAGAGGACTCCCCAGGACAGAGCTGGCCTTCCTTACCAGTCTGTTCAGTCTCATCATCTTGTCAGCTACTAAATGATACCCCTTAACAAAAAGCAAGCTTATTTGCTATCTTGGCTCACAAATGGTGGAACAGGCTCCCCATTCATATCAGGATTGCTGACCACTAGTTTTAACTGCACAATAATAATTTAAAAAAACTAATAAATTCTCCCTGGTTTGGTTACTAGATGATTGAACATGAATGTTTGTTTTTGTTATATAATGTAAATGAGTTAACAAATGTGTCTCCTCTAGCTTTGTTCCATGTTCAGAGAAGATCCACTCTGCTGTCACTGAGATGGCCTCACTCTTCCCTAGAGTAAGTCGCAGATACTTTATTTTCACATCTCCCTTTGTGTGTCTCTCTTTGTTATTATTCATCCAGCTGTTGCTCTCTTTATCCTCCTTGCTCTGTGAGTTGAGTTTTGATTCATTTCTTCCGTAGCGCCCTGCGTTAGATGCGGTCCACAGCTCCCTCCGCCTGTTGGCTTCCAGTGCCTCGCGGTTGCAGGTGGAGTGCCGTAAGGCGGGGCCCTCAGAGCCCGGGGGCCCCGCGGTGGACTACCAGCTCCTCACTCAGCAGGTCATCCAGTGCGCTTACGACATCGCCAAGGCTGCCAAGCAACTGGTCACCATCACCACCCGTGAGAAGAAACAGTGACCCGACAAATGCATGGCAAAATGGAAGAGGGAGAGAGGACGGATCGATGCATGGGTGGGCTATGGGCGACCAGGGAGGGGGAGCGATCGGGAGAATGATAGCGAAGAAGATGGGAAAAGATGCTGAATGTTTAGTAGAAACACAAAGCAGGGGCGGAGAAAGAGAAAGTAGGGAAGGACAAGTGGAAGGATCCAACATGGGAGCTACAGCCTGCTGCAACCTGAGTAAACAGTTGAAATCAGATGTGTAAAATAAACCACTGTGATGTGAAATACAATGGTGACGATGTACAGAGAACTGGATCCGGAGATGTTACCGCTTTTATTTATTCTCACCTGTCAGCCATCACCCCTCCTTCTCCCTGTTTACCTGAACCAGGGAGTGAGGAAGTGCGAGAGAGAGGAAGTAGATGCACCAACCACGACCTTCTACACACCATCTCCTCCTCTCCGTCCTGCGGAGACGTACCTTCCTCTACCTCACTCTCCTACCAGACACACCCTCTGCCTCCGTCTTCATCCAAGACAGGATGTGAAGGACCCCTGGGACCCACCCAGCTCCACCCTACCCCACCCAGGCTCTCAGATGCTTCCTCCTGGGTTACATTTTCAGGGGGCTCCAGTTTTTCTTCGCCCCCTGTTGTCGGTGGTACACAGCATGACCGGGCATGTTTTCATTTCTTTCCTCTCTTCTTTTTCTTCATTGTTTTTGAATACGCAGATGGGTTTGGTCTGCACCACTAAGGACAAAAATAACTGACTTACACAAACAAAAACAAAAACACTTACACTGGAATAATTGTGACTTATTGTTGTTGATTATCTATGCCTATTGTTTCTTTTTGTATTGATATTTTTACTGACTGTCATTTTGATTTAACTGTTTATGTATTTTATTGTCTCAAATATGATTCTCATTTAGTGGGATAGGGAGGCGGGCGGGAGTATGTGCTCAGCTGGGATTCAAGGAAACATGCACACACACTTACACACGAAGAAGTAACCTGTGTCCTCGACATTTGTCAAGCACTCATTTTCTGGGAGACAGTTCGGGGAGATTTGTTTTCGGTTTGGATTTTCTGTCAGACCAAAAGCCCCTTGGTGCATTACGACAGGACCTGGATCAAAACTCTCTTCTCGTGTATCCTCAGTTTGGGCATGACTTGTGTTCTAATTCTCCTCATTTATCAGAGCCAGTGGAATCATCTCATCCCAAATTCACTTTTGATGTGCCAAGCAGTATAATAAGTATTGGGTGTGCTCCTGGGTGCCTGTAGCAGCCATCGCTTGCATGCATGGCAAATCAGTCACATCAGTTGATCCACATATTGGTGTGTTGCTTTAAAGTAGTCCTGTGAAAAGCACCATATCTAGTTAACATTTCATTTGTCATTTGAGAATATACGCTCACTTGCAATGGATTCAACCCCCTTAAATATGCATGATGTACTTTGCCTTGCATTATGTTTATTTACATTTTTCCTGCCTGGCAAGCCCATTCAAGCTTACATTCAGTTTTTCAATTTTATTCTCTGTCGGGGCCTGCTGATCCGGGCCACAGAAGTTGTCACTTTTTATGTCTCTGAACTTTGCTAATGGGACAGCATTGGGAACAAAAATGTTTTTTCATTCGTTTCGTTTTTTTTCAAAAAGTGAGCGCACTTAGCCTACTGTCGGACTGAAGCGTGTTGTACTGTGCGAACACATCTGGTCACATCTGTAACAAAAGATGCAGGCCCTCTTCTCGTTTAGATTCACCCTTCTCCAATTACATTGTCACCGGTTTCTCAAAGTGTTTGTGGCCTTAACTGTCAGTTGTTCTTGTGTTGGTATATTATATAAACAGGCTTCAGAAGGCCTCTGCACATTACATGTTTCCTACCTGCAACATTGACCTCATCCTTCAAACAGTAGTTGCATCTCATATTGTTTTTTTCTTGTATTGCTGCCAATTTAGCAAGAAGCAATTAGACCTTAATTAGCCCCTAACACTTTGAGAGACTGATGCTAGACAACCTACAGCACTTCTCTGTCCACTTTATCCATGTTTCTCCCCCTCTTTTAATTACTTGGCTGTCAGTGTTCCTCTCAGACAGTTGCACTCACGTCTCCTTAGGGGAGGATGGGTTGTTTGTTCTGTTTCCTGTCAAAGCAAATCATGTCCAGAAGACTCATGAAATGTATCATCGTTTGATATCGAATGCCTTGGGACATTATCATCATCTCCTGTTGAGTTACTGACAGCTGAAACAACACTAATACTTCCACACACACACAAACGCACGCAAGGGGGTCAGCAAAAACATGATTGCCCAAGTTTTAGATTAGAGCCATATATATGAACATATATTTTCATGCTATATTTTATATTAAGCTATATGTTAGGGTTATGTCTGCGAGATATTTATGTCTATTTGTTTCCCCGAGTGGGCTTCAGGCTACGGGATCTGTTCTCCACATCATCACTCAGCCCTTCAGTCCTCACACTGATATACTTATAGATTTTTAATTATTGTGAGTATGGTTACGCTGTGGTATTACCCCCTTATGTAGATATATTGTACATATTATGATCCTACTAGAATCCACAGGGAGAAGAGTTGAATTTAGACGATATCTCATTATATCGTACTATTTTCAAACTCCATCTGGGTGAAGTAGGATCTACACTATGTACTGCACTCTCCCAAAGGTCTTAGGTCAAGTACATTAGGTGCAGGATGCAGGGTTTGATTGAGGATGGGAAACAGGAAAGGTCTGAAGCACACTTGGGCTTAGCACTACAGTCATCTCAAAATGTCGGGAGGAGGGTCTACAACGCACATGGCCTAGTCCTTCCCGGAGATAGTCCACACTACGCAGGGTGCCTCAAGTATGAATGTTAAAGGCTTCCGTCAGATCAAGCCAAACACGCTTTTATACACCTTCATCATGTCATTAAACACACACCCTCAACTTATCAGTTGGACCAAGCCTTCTACAAAGTACAAACATTAAAACTACAGTGAGTTGAACACACACGCACACACACACACACACTTCTCATACTCAAGCATTGGCAGTGCACTATGGGGTGTACTGTTCATGTCCCTGTTTTTCTTTACAACTCTACACTTTGGGAGATGGGTGACGGGAGAGTTATGTTTTAACAGAAGACGTACAAAACTGTATAAAGTAGAGAAAACAATGACTTAAAAAGGTCAATCGTAATGGAAACTCATAAGCTGTACATTTGTAATAAAATAGTAAAACTAAGTGGATTTTCTTGGATCTGTCGGCAGGTTTTTCCTCACTGTTTGGATGCTAACCTGTGTGTATTTACATCTCTGTAATATGTAAGGACAATTCCAACCTAAACCTTTCATCAAATGCAAACATTTAACTAGCTGTTGTCATTTTTAACAATTAAAGAAAAACTGCACCATGCTGAGGTCATAAAATACTTCTGTAGTTTTGCTGTGTTGCATTGAGTATACTAAAATAAGAAAAAAACAGAAACAAACAATGTTTTTTTTCAATCTAAAACCTTTAATTGCATCTTTTTACTACCCGATACCGAAATGAAAAGTTTTAATTATTCCATTACATGTATGAAAACCTCACGGGGTATTATAGTATATGACCACTACAACCCACTATAGCATTTAGAGTCTATATAAGAAACCATATTTAGTTTTCTACTTTTTTTTTACTTGATCAATTCAATGACTTTTGTCTTTTAAAACAACACATTTAACAGATTGTTATCAAAAATGTTCATATAACTTTTTTAAGACTAGAATATTGATATTGGTATCAGCCTAACAAATCTGACTGGTTTGATTCCAACATTTAAATCCTGAAATCCAGTACAGCTGAGTTCACACGCTTAACTCTTATGTAAAGGAATAAAATGTCTTTGAAAATCCTTCAAATTTAGCCCAAAACTGTCAAAATACAGCGGTTCAAATCATTGTACCGTTTAATAACAAATACAGCGCACAGTGTTGCTTAGAACAGCAACTTACATATTCACATAGTAAAACATCCCAATAATAAAAATAAATGTCATATTACTATAAAACTATTTATAAAAACAGCATATTGACAAAATGTAGCACAATAAAAACAATCATTGGGTAGAAAAACATTGACAAGAACAGGCCTGGAGACTTTATATTGAATGTATAAGTAAGGACAATAAGGTGTATGCAATGTGTGATGTGTAGAAGAAGACATTTATAAAACGTTCTCTTTGGACTCTTTAATGTATGTTTAGGGATTCCCTGAGGGGTTAAATGATTGATCTGGAACCATAGGACTGAATAGAGTTGTGTGAGCTTTCATTAGCCTCTTGTAAATATCCTTTAAAGGTAGGGTTGGTAAGAATGGAGAAAGCAGCTCGAGTGTGCTAGAATTTGAAACTATGCAGCCGAAAAAAATCTGCCTCTTCCTTCAGACTTCCTTACAGAGCCCCTCCTCCAACACACACGAACGCGCACATGACCAATGAGGGCACGAGATAAGTTTGTGCACGAGATGGAAGGCTGACAGGCAGGTAGGCCATCCAGTTATTTTAGCCGGGCCGGCTCAGATGATTGGTCGTGCTTGTTACAGTGCCACGGCTTCCACAGATTACATTTTTTATGTATTTATTGTCAAAGCATTTAATATATTCATTGCTATCGGGATGTTAAGAGCATTCCATGGAATATAACAAAAAGTGTTTCTGAAGTGAATTACCTACCCCACCTTTAATGCTTGTGATTTGGGGATTGTAGTTTCGACTACTGTATGTAACCTATACATCTATAAAAGGGTTCTCTATGATCTATGTGGCATTTCAGCTTCTACAGTATGTGGCATTTCAGCTACAGCTTCCAGCTTATCCAGCTACTTATTTGATAAAAGATAGTTTGAGTCGCACCTAATTTAGTATAATTTGTCTCGCAAAGTCAATTTCATTGATAAAGACACTGATGCAAATATTGTCCACTGTTGACCTCCTCCACTTTAAATGTGACTTGGGTGCACTCTTGGGGGTGTTTCCTTCATTCTTCTACGGATGTTCGTCTGAGCTGGAGGAGCTGGGCAGAAGAACACACTCCTGTCGTCGGCCCCTTTTCCGCCTTCTGTTGGCAATCCTTATCCTCGTGCGGATCACATCTGGACAACACACACACACAGCAACACCCAAAATGAATAAAAGCAGCCATGGAGGTACTGTATCATTATATTTCTATCAGTCTGTGTCATTAGACAGGGGATTTGCTTGAAAACAGGAAAGTAGAGGAAGATCTGAGCAACATTAGTGTTGGAGCTATATATCGCTTTATATTATTTAAGAGTTAAACATTTATTTTCTTGCTATTATTATTTATAGTAAATGTATTCTTAGTTATTGTTGTTATCGAAGTGAGTTAAAGTAGTTTCTATGCTTTTATTTTGAAGGCATGTTTGTGCACTTGGTGATTAGAGCACCTGGTGTAATTGTATATATTGGAGACATGTGGTGGTGGGATTAGAGCACCAGTAGGCACATGGTTTTTTACCAGGGTCTTTCAAGCCACACAAAGGAAAGCCATATGAAAGGCTAAAGGAAAAGAGATATAGGAAACCTGTTCATTGTACTTTGTTATTGGAATAAAATGCACAAACGGCGATTCTTGTCTGGACTTGGATGATCATTGCCCTGCGTAAGATCCGCGAACTAGTGCCTCAGCGGCAGTGTTATTTTAAGTTGATTATCTGTTTCATTTCTATATGATTTTGGCCGCTACAATTAGGGTTGCACATTTTATACATGATTAAACTGGGATTTTTAAGAGGAGGTCTTTGTGTATTTTGGTCATTGTGGTGTTCCTACCTGCCACACTGTCGTAGTCCCGCTGTGGGTCGTGCCAGTAGAGGCTGGGCGTGGTCCTCCAGTGGCGGTACAGCCGTGTGTGGAGCACCGACAGGGTCAGGAGGATCAGCAGGAAGCCCAGAGCCGCTGCGGCCCACACCGCCTCGTCCGTCCTCGGGGTCCGGGGCAACCCAAGGTTCACAGCAGCGGCCCCCGACCCCTCGCTGCACTCACAGTGTTCCCCTGCTTTGCAGCTGTCACAGTCGTTGGGCAGATAACTGACTGTCCGTGGGTTCTGATTGTGTTGGGGCTGCAGGGGCGGAGACTCTGATTTTGAAACAGAATCAAAGCCAATCTTTTCACTCTTGTGGTGAGAGTGTGAATGCTTATGTTCCAACTCTCTTTCTTTAACGTCTATTGCTTCGTTATCCTTCATCGTGCCATCTCTTCCCATCTTCTTCTGTTTGAGGCTGTGTTTAAGAGAGTTTTTGTCTCTGTGTTTGGCTGAACCTTCATTTTTGGAGCTAATGGCCTGGGCTTCGGGCCTGGCAGTGTTGTTTTGTTCACTGTTCACACCATTGGCGAGAACAATGAACCCAGCAGAGGGGTTTGGGTTTCTGAGGTTACTGGGCTGCTGTGCTGCTGTCTGTAGAGTCAGACTGCTTTTCTGAGACTCAGGAGCCATGAGTCTTAAATAATCACTTCTAAGTCTAGTCTTAGACATATTTGATCCCACAAAAGGGCTGGGTGTGAGGCCATGGTTTGTATTTTGGATCTCAGACTGAGAAGAAGCTTCAGTGTTTCCTGTTGAAGGTCCAAGGGTGTTGTTGTAGTTGTGGATGTCTCCTGTCCTGCTGATGGAGGTTCTGTTGGTATTGTATTGTGTTGCATTTCCTCTCTTGTTTTCATCTTCAACATCGCCCTGTTTTTCTTTAATGGCTCTCATCTGCCTGCTTTTTCCTTCCTCTTTACTTAGCTTTAAGCCTTCCTTCTTCATGCTGGATTCTAGCTGTGTCTCCATCGCTCCACTCAGCTGAGAAGAGATGGTCTGCTCACAGCATTGCTTCAGAGACTCCTGGGGATTTACAACAACAGCTTCTTAGAACTACAACCATACTGAAAATACTCTTTTCACATGTTAAATCACAAATAATTAACACCATGGAAATAAAATCAATTAAAAAGTTGCCAGTCAAGTATTCAAACCTTCATAATTTTTGCCGAGTGTTCCCCTGCATGCTGCTGTCGGTGCTGCGCGGCTGACCGGGTTAACAGCAGGTTGTACTTCCTGCTCTGGCTCACACCACCAAACGTATTTATTGTGGTTGCTGTGGTCTCCAGCCAATCCCAGATGTCTGAAGAGGCCGCTGTGGACAGCTCCAAAGTGTGACCCCATGACACCAAGGCTATTGGCTGCACACAGAGCAAACTGTCAATATATGTATGTTTGACAACAGGGACAAAAAGGCTACCTGTATGTACTGCTGCTCCTCAAACAGGGGGGTTGTGGCCTGGTCTTGCTAAGTCAGTGACAATTGTGTCTATTTGTGTAAGAATCAAATTGAGTTACATCTTCAGTTGTGCTTGTCGTGTGTTGGTTGAGCAGTGGGGGAACATGCTTTTACTATTTTAACTCCAACACTGAGGAAAAAAATCCACGGCAAAATCAAAGCCTCATTTTGAAAAAGCTTGTAAAAACTTGCTCTTGTATAATTTTTTTTTCTTCTATGCTGTTCTTTTACACATTTGTTGTATCTTGCAATGTTTGACACATAATGGAAATCTTTGAATTTATTATATTTTCTGTAAATGATGTCCTGTTAAAAAAATGTTTATGATATGTATCTTTGCACCTTTAAAAATGGTATGGGGTTGTATTCAGTGAATCGCCTTGTCACTCTGATTTGGGGTACTATAGTAATAAAGTTTATAATCATGATTATAAGGGTAACAAGACAAGTGTGCAAAGTTCAAAATATTTAAACAAGTGAACAGAAAATATAAAGCCTGAAAAGTAAACTTTGCTGGGTAACAGAGCAGAGATAAAGAGTTATTGTCTCACCCTGTGTTTATTGAGCTGTGGATGTGAGGTCATGATGTAGTCTGGCAGACAGGAGCGGGCCAGGACAGACAGAAGTAAACGCTCGCGGAGAGGAGAACAGGGGTGATAGAGCAAAACAGTGGCTCCATGCTGGGAAAATAAACACAAACAAAGTGACTACATTCACACTAAAAGTTATGACACTAGTATGACATTGACTAAAAGGAAGTGCTTACAATAATCTCAATATTATATATTCTCCTTTTATATAAATAATGATTTTCATCTGACAAATATTCCTAAGGGAAATTATTAACACTGTATTTGAGTGTCTATAAAAACGTTATGCCTCCAACCCAGTTTCTCATAGCTATAGCATCCTATAGAAAATATAA